ATTAGTATACCTTTATCAGGATTACAACTGAAGTGAATTCAAACTTCCCCTGCATCTTGCTCCAAACCAGCAAACACACACATACCACGTGCACACATGCTTTATCATCTCCAGAATGAAAGAGGCATGGTAAATGCCAGGTAAGACACTTAACACAAAGGAGAAATGTCATATTTTCTCACAACACCCTCCCACCCCCCAAAAAATAAAGATGTGCATTTTAAGTGGGCCAGCTGTTTTCTTCACTAGAAAAGCAGCACATCTGGAGACACCAGGCATGCCATGCAAATACCAAGATGGCTACTGCTGGTGTCTGCTCAGCAAAATGATGCAACATTAACCCTGTCAGTGCCATAGCTATTGGCTGAGCATGGTAGCTTTGTCCAAAGCAGCAAGTGAGTTCTTGGTAGGGTCTTGATGATGCTCATGATGTGAAAACAATTCTTTATTTAAAGGTACTTATACAAAGAGAGTTAAACAGTCTTGGAACTGCCCTTGCAATTAAAGAGTAAGTCAGTCCTCCCAGGAACACAGTGTCCACGAAGTGTGGCATCCCAGGAGAGACTGACATACCAGGAAGTTCCTGATGCCACACTTCCTTAACACTCTACGTTTCCAGGATGACCTACTCTAAGGTCACAGTCAGCCACGACTCCAGAAAAAAAATTCCTTATGTTCTGCCTTCTAAATAGAAGTTGCAGGTTTTACTTGGGGACATATTGTGTGTGTAAATGTATTGGCTAATCCAGCCACATGGACCAGTACAGGTAAATTAATTTTACAATCAGTTGAAATGGGGATGTGTTTCTGTAACTGCACAGCTATAGTTGATGTGATGGTCTTAAAAAAAGTTGTGTTCTACAATTAATTAAATGTTTGGTCTGATTAAATACAGTTAATGTACTTAGAGGTTTAGCAAATATAGGTATCTGAGCACTGTTTTCAGAACTCAGAGTTTATATGCAACTTACTTGTAGCTCAATATCTACTATTCTTTCCAAAATAAAGTTGCACAAATTTGACAGTTTTAAGAAACTCAATCTCAGTGTGGTAGAATATGTTCAAAGTATTTTTCAACAAGTCCATACATAAAGTAGGAAAGCATGATAGCATAGCAGTTCCATTATCTATGAATGCCACACAACTGCAAATCAGAAAAAAGACAAGGTGACTTGCATGAAGTGTCATACCAATAACAGAAACAACACGGGCATCTCTAATATAAACATGCCTTGTTTTCTTAACAGCGATTCCCCACGCATAAACTAAAAAGCTAATCTTTTTTTCTGTTTTGCCTGACGGAGAGATAAGTAAAGTTTAGATTTCCAGTTTAATTTGTTCTCTTACTAAAGCCAGATGAGATACCACGAATATACTATTTTACTGAATCAACTGGTATCGAGTTCTTATTTGTACTTTCTTGGCAAACACGAGTCATTTTAACCCTAAGAATACAAAGGATGCATTATTCAGATCTTATGGTAACAATACCATAATTAATAAAAATAGTACCTTCCATTTTGACCAATCATTTAACTTCTGCAATAAAATAATAAGGCAAGGGAAAACACCCAGTGAGTTACTGCTGAAATGGTAATGAGAAGGGTTGAATATTACACTATACTGGCTATGTGGCAGCTGGTTAATATGCTTATCAACAGTTCAAAGATTATGCCTTTCGTAATTGCCAAATCCAGCCTGTGTAAAAAAGTTAACGTTTCAAAAAAATTCCTTCCTGATTGTTTCAGCTACCTTAGCCATCATCCTGAAGATGTTTTCATCTTCATTCTAACCCAAGTTTTTCAATTTTTTTCTAGAAAAATAGAAGTTCACATGAAAAAAAATTTAGCAGTCATACAGCAACTCCCATTGATATCAACTTACTCAGTTAAGGTACATCTAAGGAACAATAGTAAAATATCTGCCTTCATTTCACACTGATCATTTTTGGCAAAAGCTGGCATGTGAAGGTCAAATTGTTATGCTTAACTAGAACATAAGAGCTGTTTGGCTCAGGTTAATTCTGCCTCTAACTTTTACTGCACATATCTAGTGCTGACTACACCATTTAATAAAATAAACCTTAGAGCGTAGGAATGGCATTGCACCCATTTCTTGATAGCTGTTTTTCAATTCAATTTTTATTTCTTCCCTTTACAAAGGCACAAAACTTGCTGTACAATCACTTGGCTCTATAACCATTTTGATAATGAAGCCTAAGGCCTGTTAGAGAACCAGATATCAGTAGTATTCAAGCATCACTAATTTCTCTTCACTGAGGATGATCAAAGGGATTAGGTATTTCATGGAAATCTGGCCATGTTTTCAATAGGCTCTAGAACTGTTGTACTCTTCTAGGAAGCAGAACACTGAATCCCTATGCATAAACAAAACTAATCTGACAGCTAGTATGTTTGTAGCATGTTCCTTGATATTTTAGAAGTTTACGGTTGTTACATATTATATAACAATAAATCTAATCCTCGATTAGTTTTTACCTTCACTGTACTTTGAGGGGTGTGGCAGCAGGGAGGGGGGGAGATTAAATAAGGACACTATAGACTACATTTTATTCTTGGGCACCTCTGGTTTATTTACTAACAAACTCAGGGATCTAATTAACAAAAAAATATTCAAGCTGAGAAAAGTCTTTATACAATCTATTTTTCCATATATTAAAGGCATGTAGACAGGACATATATGTTTGATGCTGGATCTAACTTCAAGTCTTCAGTCACTGCTTTTAAGCATTATAATTAAGTTTGAACTGTGACAAACACCAGATTTTTGAGAAACAACTATGGGATGCAGTTTCTTCTACTACCTGCAAATCCCAAGTACTGTTCTAGAAAAACAAATTAATTTTGAGACTCAGAAGCCACACACAATTGCTCCAATTTTGTTCATGCAATTTACAACTTGCAAAATCAAAGTAATTTTAGATGGAAGAATCTGCAGCCCTCCAACCATCACTATGAAAACATCTAGACTGGATTTAAAAAGAACAATGAACATGGAATTCCACCTCTACAGAACTCCAAATCCACTTCACCTACCTCTTTTCACCCTCACTTTGTGAAGCAAGCCTTAAGTCTGATTAAACCAGATGCAGAACTTGACATTACATCTTTGCTAACAAGTCTGATCTCGGTATCTTCTGCAAGGGGGGCAGTAAAGGAGGACAAGTTGCCATTACAGAATAATTGGAAATCATCCCTTTAAATGGTCAAAATTCAACGGAATGTGTCCAAAGTCAAAGTCAAAATAAGACACCTTGGAACACTGAATATAGACTACACCTGAAAATGGGAAAACTTCTTTGAAAGCAGCGATTCAAAGAAGGACTTGGGAATTTACTGATAGCCACCTTGACATCATTCTCAGTGAAAGATTATGGTACCATGGATACATTTAATCTTTTTATACAAGGAGGTTTTGATCCTGAGTTTGTACAAAGCATTGTTAAAACCACTACTGGAAATTTCTTGCAGTATAGATACTGGAGATACATTTAGCAAATAGGAGAAAGTTCAAAGGAGTGTCCCAGAAAAACTTAGGGACTGTAAAGCTTGTTTCATAATGTGAGGCTGAACTGGCTAAACTAAAAGAAGATGCAAGATGATTTGATTGCTGGGCATAGGCACTAATATTTGGAAGAGGTATTTCTAAAATGGGGAGGATGGATTTCAGCCCTATGGACAAAGATAAAATGTTTGAAGTCAAAGAAATTCAAATCTGAATTAAGATGCAATATTCTAGCTATGATAATAAGTAACTATTATAATAGTTTATCAGAAGCAATGATAAATGCACCATTACTACGAGTCCTGAGGATTAGATTAAATCTCTGAAAAAGAAGTGTGTTAAAATCTAGGGTCACAGGGAATTGTGTAAAGAACTAGATGGTCACAGCTGTCCCTTTTAGCCTCTGAATTTGTGAATCTTCTTGTTAATTCATAAGTCACTGGGAACAGGATGTTAATATTGATCTGTAAAAGCAATTGTGATTGTCCTTTAAGACAACTATAATCAAGCCTTATGCTTCAGGGCTTTAAGCCAGTCACCTGCAGAAGTCAGGAAGCAAGTGCTCCAAGGTGGTACAGAAAAACTTCTGTCCTCAGATGCTTGTCTGGGGCATCTTGTTCACATGTTCAAACTCACTGTTAAACTGGGATTCAGATGAATACTCCCTAAATGGGAGTAACAGTTTTTCATGGGAGAGGTGTCACCTCCTGCGGCATGGCCAGATAAAATAATCTGGTCATCCAAGAAATTCCATACAAGTGCAGATTCATGTGCCTTTGTGACACCTTTGTGTCTCCTACTTTCTGCTTGTGGAACACACTTCAAGAACTGAGGATTGAAGTTCTTTCATCAAACCACAGTTACTATGCTCTAATTAGGGGTAACTAGAGAAGATTACACAGTCTGTAATATAAATGGAGTCAGACAACATCTAAATCTCTCGGGGCCAAATACTCTTACAAAAATTTACACATTATTTAAAAATACCTTGGAAAGTGATCAGAATATATGACAAATATACAAAAAACTAGCATATTTAATAAATCAACATGCTACAAACCAGTCCTTTAAAAGCCTATACAAATTAAACCTGAAATGTTATAACAGTATACTACCTCTAGTTCTTATGGACAGATTTAGAATGAATTATGCTTTTTGCTAAATAGCACATTTACCTGAAAACAAATCTCAGCATCTTAGGAAAAAACCTGTATAGTTACCAAAGAATGGTTTAGAACTTAAATCTTGATTTACAGTGGGGCAGGGAGGAAGGGGGGGAAATCACATGCTAATTTTAAATGCAAGACAGCCTCATAGAAAATTTGACATCTACTAAAACATAACCACATATTAAAACATATATTTTGGAGATAAGTATAGCAGGTAGGAAGCTACTCCTATACTATGCATAGACTAAAGAACTTTGAGACAGAGAAAGCTTAAAACCTATCTTAGAAGTCCAGAAAAAGATTTACCTGCAACACCATTCAATTCGGCCTTCCCCTTCATAAGTTTTTGCCCAGTGTTTATCTGCAAGGTTTTTCATTGCTACAGCATATTCACAGAGCGTTTCTTCATCCTCACAGTGTTCTCGCCAGATCTTTTCAAAGTCTCCCACTAAAAAAATCCCAAAAGCCACAGCGTGAGTTATATGTATTATAGTAATATTATAATCTTAACATTTTGAATATAGAACAAAAGAAATTTCCTCTACTGGCATGCAGTCAGATAAAAAGTTAGTAAGTTTTCCTGTTACAACGGCTTAGATTGGGATAGTCAGCCTTCAGCCTACCAGCCAAATGTAGCCATCAGGTCTGCAAGTTCAGCAGAGGGGGGGAAACTGGCCATTAATATGACCACCCTCCCTCCCCTGCTGCCACATTTCCCAGCACCAAGTACCGGGGCTGGGCTGGATCAAGGTGGGCTATGGTTCCTCTACTCCCTGTGGAAATGACCACACCCCCTTTCCCCTGCAGGGCCACATTGGGACCAGCCTTCCCCTGCCCCCCTCTACGCAGCCAGACGGTACCTGCTGTGCCCGTCTTAGGTACTAGGTTGGGACCACCAGCCAGATCAGGCACTGCCTATCTAGCCTGCTAGGTGAAAAAGGTTGAGCACCACTGGCCTGGATTAATAAAGCCCAGGGTTTTTTGCCATTTATAGTATACATTTTTACTAGTATGGACAGCAACATTAAGGTGTCATTTTCTAGTTGGTCTCAATTTCAGGTTTGCATGCACTCAGGGCTGGGCCAAGCCAGCTCCTGCTGCGTCTTGCAGTCAGGCCATGCAGCCAGGAGCCACATGGTGCTGGAGCTGACAGCAGGAAAGGAGGGAAATGGCAGCTACAGGCACAGTGGAGTGGGAGTGAGTGGGTGTGCAGAGTGCCCACTGGCACTGACCCCAGGTCAACTGGCACAGGCCCCATGCTCCTGTGGACCCGCTCCCTCCCACTCTCCCCTTCCTGTACTTGCCATTTCCCTGCTTTCCTGCCAGCTGCTCCAGCACCATGTGGCTGCCAGCTGCATGGCTGGACCATGGGAGCACAGGACCAGTACTGGAATTCCAGGGCAAGGAGCAGGTGTGTGTGTTCATAGGACAAGTCCTCCCCTCCCCCCCACCATACACATGCACCCACACCACCCCTCACATTGCCATACATGCAGGCCCCCACACCCGCACTCCCTCACACTCCAGCCACCCTCCCCCCACACAGCCACATGCTCCCTTACTCCACACCCATACCCCCACACCATTCCCTCTCCCAGGGCCTCCGCAGCCCAGCAGGCATCACCCAGCGTGGCAGGAAGCAAAGGAGCTGCACGGAGAAGCTGCTCGCTGCTTCTTGTCCTGCGCTGCCCTGGTGACATCCCTCCTGTGCACGGGGCTGCAGCGAGGGCAGCAGCATGGGGCTGCATCCCTCAAAGCAGCAGCATGTGCAGGGGGCATGTCGCCAAGGTAATGGGGGGTGGGGGGGTGGAGCTTGCAGCAGCAACGAGATCCCTGCATGGCCCTGCTGTCCCCAGCTGCATCAGGTCGTGCCTGCAGGGCTGCAGAGGCCCTGGGGGAGGGAAGCAGAGCGGGAGCTCAAGCTGCCCTGCATACAGATCTGGGGGCACAGGTCCCCCCTACCCCCAGGGAGTGCACGCAGTGGCAGGGAGTTGCCTCGCCTGAGCCCGCAGCAGGGGGGAGTAGGGGCAGGAGGCCAAGGACCAGGGTCTGTAGCCCTGGCAGCTGGGGGCCCCTTCTAGCAGGGCTGGGGGAGCAGGGGCTGTGGGTAGGGGGCGAGGCGCATCAGGCAAGGCTGTGGGTGCAGGGAGTGAGAGGCATGAGCATGGCCAGGGACCTGTGGGTGGGAAGTGAGGGGCACCAGCACGGCCAGTGGAGGGGTTGTGGGGGGCCTTAATTTTAATCACAGATTTTAGGTTTTTTATTAGAGAATTTGGTATGTTTCATCAGGGAGAACCAGGATCCCTGATGATCATATTATACTCATGTCAACTGTGTGTGGAGACTGAAAGTGTAGTTTCAGTCTTGCAAGTACACTGCATAACCTGGCCAGACTTAAACCAGCTTATAGATAAGTACAAGGTCAAGGAACAAAACAAAATTAACCAATCATTGGGAAAAGGTTTTACTACTCATTTTGCTACTTGCTCCAAAAGAATTCTCCAAGTTGAAATCCTGCAACTTGAACCACCAAATAGGACATTCAAATAAGTACAGTAAAAGCCTTTGTTAATCAGCATTTTAGTAACCGGCACTTCTATTAACTGGAATTTCCAGCCAGCTAGTTGGTGGGTCAGACGCCCGGGGGGGGGGGGGGGGGGGGGGGGGCG